CATAATTGGCTCACATAAGTAGCATATACTGAAAAGATGAACTCTATTGGTTCAATGCTGAGTTGCATGGAAGAGGATAAGGAAATCATGAGTATGTTCATAAAAGAAAGAGTCATGTTACCATCACATAAATGCACACAAGAAAAAAGAAGTGGATGAAAATAAGGTTCACGAGATAAATTGGCAGATAAGGTAACACTAACTTTCGCAAGTAAATAAACATGCTGTTTTACCATTTTATAAGTGCAATATAACTATTAATCAATAGAAAAGTACAAATATTTTTAAAAAAATTCTATAAATATGATTTTGAGATACTCATGTCAATGTACAGCATGATTTAGAACTGACCCAGACACCTGAAGAATCTAAATATTTGAGTTTCATATTTTTCTTTCTGCATTTACTCCATTTTCCAACCAACCAACCAAGTAAAAGAAAAAAATTACACCGACTGAAAAGTCAACCAAATGACAGAAAATAAAAAAAATTGGAACAACGCAAGTTCCAACTACCAACATTACTCCAAATCCGAAGCTGAAAATGAACTAATCAGCTGCAAAAATACATAAATCCAAAAGGTTTCCTACACATCAACGTATATGTAACAAATTCAAAGATCCAAAACACGCATTTGAGATTAAAACAATAAGAAGGGTAGAGCAACAGAAATTGAGTAGGAGAAGATGCAATTCGCAAAATGTGACAAGTAATTACCAATTAACAAAGAGAAGAAGCACACAAAAGCTTCAATTACTAGCTTAAAGTAGAAAAGTGAAGGGCTTAAGGCCTTGATTTTGTGTAGTAAGAGTGAATTTTTGAAGCTTTAGAGAACCCTAGATTTGGGGATCAGAAGCTCGCCTTACCTTTTATCTGCTTTGCCCTGTGAACCCGGAAGACACGACAGAGGAGGAGAGCAGCTGGATCTTTATTGTTATATATATGGTAAAGTTTACCGGAAATGCCCTTGCAGATTTGGTGAATCACATCCGTTGCCACTCCGGGTTTTCATTTTGAATCTCTTTTTTTGTGGTCACAAAGTAGTCGCGATTTAATTAACGGGTTTACTTGATAAAGTAATTATCTAGAATGAATTGACCATTAAATGCTTGAACAATTTCACTAACCACAATGATACTTCAAGTTACGTCTTTCTAATTGTAAAAGACCATTCCAAATTACCCACACAAAAAAAATACTATTCCAAATTACTCAAATTATCTACAAACTTTTCTATAGAGTAAATAACCTGTGTTAGGTTCAAGCGATAAGACTTCAATGCTAGAGAAATGCTCATCTAAATTCATACCAATTTAAACAACAAAAACCCACAAAAGATAGTCTAAAAAACTCTAAATTAATAGAATATACGGAGCGGAGGACTTTAATTTACATATAAGTCAGTGAACTCACTACCTTAATCAATGTGAGCACCCTTGTTAAATACCAACATTTGCCTTTTCTTTTTTCTTTTTTCTTTTTTTGTTGGAAGAAATTGTGGGATTGCATTTACAATTTATCTCAAAAAACCACTAGCCACAAAAGGACCAATACAGACTAGTAAAATGGGTATTCAATAACGAAGAAATCAAACATCAAAATTAAGATAATTTGGGGCTCATCCACTAACGATTATGTAAGATTGAAAAAATTTACAAAATGGTGGTAGAGATTCAACATCGAAATACAGGTGGAGATCCGATGTCAAGACGCATTCACATGTGATGAGTGGAGGAAAATCATAATAAAACGAAAATAGATAGGGGAAGCCTTATGACTCTGAAATCGGGGGAAGAGAGAAGGAAGAGAGGAAGAAGAATAGCTTCCTCTCCTCAAAGTGAAAAAGACTCTAGAGTGTTTTTTGGAAGAGAAGGGACTAAGGTTTCGGGAGCTTTTAAATTGCAAATCAACAACATTTGCCTTGTTTAAATGAAGTCTCTAATTAAAGTGTTGGTCAAATATGAAACAATTAGACACAACAATTAACCTCGAAATTAAGTGAAACACTTTGGGGATGAATCCAATGAGGAACAAAATGACAAAAGAGGGACGTGGTATGTGCAGACGACGTGCACATCCAATTCAGATGAACTACTTCGAATTTACTTCATTTTGTATTTTTCTGTTCAAATGAGTTTGAAATTAGATTCCAATAGTTTTTGGAATGTTGTGATGTGGCTCTGTCTGTCTGTCGGCAAGACTGGCGGGGAGAGTAGCAATACTATCACTACGTGCTTCCTCCGCATATGAGCTTTGTCGTTTTTCCTAATTCATTAGGAAAATAACCATTAAATAAAATTCGCTGACCTGGTCGCATATAAACTACAAGTAGTGTCGACGACTCTCGACTTGTAATAATAATAATCTAGATAATACTTTTCTTTCTACCAAATACCAATAGATAGAATTAATGAAATAATAATAATAATAATAATGATTGGTTAATGTAATTAGGAAGAAGAGTCTCCTATTAAATGTCTGTTGAGCTGCAGACCACAACTTGTTTAAGTGTTTTTTTTAAATGAAGTTGGTGGGAACGGGATTGGGATTGGGATTGGTTGGCATGTGACGTATGGGTTGTTGAATCAACATCAAAACGGGGACACTTTTATTTCATGTGCCTTCCGTACCTTTCTTGTAAAAAAAATATCACCAAAATATCTCTGTCTCTCTCTCTCTCTCTCTCTCATATGTGTACAGTGGAAGTTGAATAACTATTTGGTCCGTTTGGTTTATGAAAAAATAGACTTCATAATGAGAAATCAATTCATTTCTCATGTTTGGTAAGTCCATGTATGGAAAATTGAGCCACTTTAACTTCCGGAAAAAATATGAGATTTGACAATATTTTCAAAGCGCACAAGTGTAATTAAGCATTCTTCATACCTATAGTGATTTGGCCTGTGTATCTCTCTTTTTCTTTTATTTTTCTAATTTTGATTGTCCACCTACTTCAACTCCAAAGTACTTTAATTATCGATACTTTTTTCTTGGGTCAACTGAGAACCTTATTAAAAAAAGGAGAAAAACACAAAGGAAAGTGCATACAAAAAAAATCAGAAAACTAAGGCCATCTTCAATCATAGGGCTAAATGTAGTCTAAGGCTAAAAATTTAGCCCTCCAAAATATTAATTTTTTAAAGAATAGTGCATGGCTAAATTTTTCCATCTTTAGCCATGTATGACTATATCTTAGGGCATTTCATATTTTATTATTTTGAGAAAAATTATGGTACAACACTCATATATTCCACAAGTATGCATTGTTTAATTTAATTCAACTACGATTTAGAGACAATATTTTTTAATTTATATATGTTTTTTAAACAAAATGAATTTAAAATATTTAAAAAGATTTTAAATAAATAAATAAATAATAACTTTTCAATCAATGATTTTGACCTCCATCGATCAGAAACCAATTATATATATATATATATTAAAAACAAAACAAATTTAAAAACATTTAAAAAGGTTATTAAAAATAAAATAAAAAACCTAACGGCTAACTAACATCATTGATGACGTCAACTCGCCTTTAATATTGGTGATTGGATTTGAAGTTACACAAGATGTTTCGAGCTCTTTCCCACACGTGATACTTTTTCTTCTTGGAAAGCACATGAGCTGGGCCCACACAAAAATTTGGCCTAGGCCAAAGCTAGGCTACATTTGGCCTAGTTGGAGGGCTAAAGGGCCAAATGTGGCCCTCCAAATTTGGCCAAAAAATATTTTTGCCCATGTCTGGAGATGGATTTTGCATTATTTTAGGGCTATATTTGGCCTATGGCCCATGGGCTAGAGATAGCCTCAGGGGGAAAGTGAAGCCCTCCTCCCAACTTGGGTTTTGTTTTCCCTCCTTATGGAAAAGTTTGGGAAAATGAGCAAACATTAAATACACATTTTTCATGATAATTTTGTCCCCATTAACAATTTAGAATTACAATATATCATTAAATGCATTCTTTTTTTATTTAATTTAATATGGATATAATTGAAAAATTATATAAACTTTGTTTTTCATTCCTACTCAAAACTAGGAAATAAAGTGATATCTTCCGGTTACTTTCTCAACACTACCAACTGTGGGAAAATAATATTCTATTTCCAATCATTTAGGAAATGACATTGGTAGTGATTTCCCCTCAAATCCGTTACGTGAACCAAACGGGGCCTATATGAATAACGCAACAGTGCATAACATATCGCTCTTTTGAGCTTGTTTCTGTTACGTGGGTTTTGTTACTCTTTGTGCATGGGCCTTATGTGAATATTTGGGGGCTTTAGGCTTAATTTGTAAGCAAGTGATGGGCTTGCGCTAATGTTATCAGACATTATGAACTTTAGCGTTGGCCTCAATTTCCCCGTGTGAAGTGTCAATTTGTCATTAAACCCGCATCTCCTTAGTTATGGATATGCACAACCAAGCACAGCTGTTGGGATGTGGATTCAAGCTAATGAGCGCTAACGTGATGAATACTGAACACGTATCACCAAACAATACTAACATCTAACTACAATCAACTATATAGCATGATTACTACGAATATGCATTGGAATGATTAGTTTAAGCATTTTTACTATGTTGTATATTGGAATGATTCAAATTTCTACTTGTTCTGTGTGTTATTTACACATGTGTATTATAATGATTTAAATTCATGAAATAAAAAATTATGTGAGTTACACGTTAAAATTCGTAATTAAATACCTTCAAAATCAAGAATTTGATCAATTAGATGCGCAATTGATTCAATTCTAATTTTTTGATTCCTCTATTTAAGTTTTTCGATTCATAACTTCTCCCATTTATGAAATATTGAAACATTGACCACTTATATTAAAAACTTATTGTATTAATATATGTGAGTTAGTAGCATGAGGTAATGTCTAAGATGTGAGAATAACAAAAAAAGCACACTGCATATTGTGATAAATAGTTAATTTATGATTGTGTCTGAAAGTTTAGCTTCAAAAGGAAGAAAAGAAAAAGAAAAAGAGGGACAGAAAAAGAAGAAATCCATTATTCCAGCCCAAATAGAAAACCGCTTAAACCTTGACAGCTAGTCCAGTCCTCTTCTCTGTGGATTCGAAGAGGAGTCGCCTCGCTTTGGAATCTCTCTAAACCTTACTGTCCGCACAGAGCACAAAGAAAAACCCTCCATTTCCATGGATATGCAGCAAAACGACTTCGATCGGATCCTCTTCTTCGAACACGCCCGTAAGACCTCCGAAGCCACCTACACTAAGAACCCTCTCGATGCCGGTGTTCGTATCTCCTCCCTCCTCATCCTTCTCATTCTCCTTTCTGAACCTGGGGATTGCTAGCTTTCGAGCTCTAACTTCTTTCCCTTCTTCACCTTTTTCCTTTAAACAACTTATATTTAACTTTTCTATTTTGTAATTGCAGAACTTGACGAGATGGGCTGGAGCTCTACTAGAGTTGTCTCAGTTTCAGAATGTCGTAGAGTCAAACAAGATGATTCAAGGTGCCAAATTTCCCCCAAATATTCGTCTATCTCTTGAATGCGAGACTGTAATCTCTTCTCTTTAGCCTTCATATTTGGTATTGTTTAATTGAGTAGTTTGTAAGTTTTAAATTTGTAAATATGGGTTTGTGATTGGTTGCACAGATGCAATTTCAAAGCTGGAGGAGGCATTGTCGATTAATCCTAAGAAACATGATGCTCTTTGGTGCCTGGGAAATGCTCATACTACTCGTGCATTTTTTAATCCGGACCAGAATGAGGCAAATCATGGTTTTAATAAGGCGTCGCACTACTTTCAGCAAGCCCTTGACGAGGTACTTCACCTGCCAAATCTCAAAGAAACTGTATGCTTGTTGTCAAAGTATGTCATTGTTTTTCCAACTTGGATGTATGATGAGTATTTTCTTTTCTTTTTTGCAGGATCCGGGAAATGAAGTCTATCGAAAGTCTTTGGAAGTGGCTGCTAAGGTGCTTTCTAACTTGATCTGGTGAAAATGCTTTTTTGTTGTTGTTGAAATCATGTATTGGCATCCTTAGTAGCGGTAGCATGGGGGACTGGCAATTAGAACCTTGATTTTTAGTGGTTGTCTCCAAGTCTAGTGTGGTGTCAGCTGTTTTCTTGACAAGTCAATTATACTTTATAGTATCTCTGGAACTGTATTTTTCTTACAATTGTATCTGGATTTAACAGCCCAAGAATGTGAGACTTGTTGCAAAGTTGTTAATGACTGTGTTTATAGGCCCCGCAATTGCACTTGGAATTCCAAAAGCATGGTTTTGGTCAACAGGTGATGGAGGCCGCTGCTGCTGCTGGACCTTCTACTTCATCAGGTGCAAAGGTGATTTTTCTGTCTCATGGGGATGTCATTCAATAGTTCATTGATTGTTGATGAATGATATTGTTAACCTCAGTGCATCACATTTGCACTCCTTGTGCTTTCATTATGGTTGTTTTCTTGATCTGTTGATGAATTATTGCTTTATCCCCTTGTCCCTCCTCCCTCTACAGGCTACAAAGAAAAACAAGAGCAGCGATCTCAAGTATGACATATTTGGTTGGATAATCCTTGCTGTCGGAATTGTTGGGTGGTTAGGATTTGCAAAATCCCATCCTCCTCCTCCTCCTCCTCCTCCCCCACATCCGCGCTTTAGTTAGACATAGTTTTTGGCACTCTGGAAGGTGGTTTGGAGATGAATCATTCATCAGCAGGTGGAGATGTACATTTGCAATGGACTCATATCATATGTGGCAGACCATCCATAAGATTAAATAGTTAGCTTTGCCCTAGTGAATATAGTGAGGCTTCGCCAATGTGATTGATGATAGATAACAATTTTGCATATTTCTCATAGTCAAATATTGATGACGGTTGAGCAGCTGGTTTTGTGGACGTTGTGTTGGTTTGTCTTTGCAGATTCAATTCCTTAGTTTCAAATGCCCGTCACGACAGAGATGGGGGTAAATCTGGTTATGCCTTTCTCCAGCATGCAATTACTTGTTCTGATGCATGCTTTCTTTCGATCCCTCATTTGAATAATTCAAATTTTTTTCTTTTGGCTGGATTGGGTGATCACAATTCATTAAGCAAAAATATCACATTTGAGCTCATCTTAAAAAGCAAACTAATCTCCCCGTAGTTTAGATTAGATTAACATAGCATATCGCTTGTATAAAAATAAGAAGAAAAGCAAACTAATTAATGAATAAATTAATTTTCATGCGTCGGTTGCATTCTTTTCCCCATTTTGAGTCATTTTATGGGGAGGGTGTCATATATGGGTCATAGATGTAAATCTTCATCTTAGCCAACGATTCATCTAAATAGTAACTTCACTTAAGTTTAATGAAATGATCGTGTGACAAATATGAAAGTTAACATCTATGGTCCGTATATGACACTCTCACTATAGAATTTAGCTTCCCGTTTGTGGGCTTTATGTTAAATTGCAGCGGATAACGATCCTAAACTAAAAAGCCCCAGAATTCGGCCCACGAAGCTATGGGCCAATGAGCCTATGAGGCATTGAGGCGTACCGATTCCGAATGTCCACGTGCTGCATCTCCTATATACGGCGCCGTTTCGCCCGAAGAACCCAGAAGTTTCTGTATGGCTGCTGATGTCTGTTAAGATTGGTGCGAGAAACTCCGAAAAACAATGTTAATTAAGGCTCTTTGTAATTTTGCATCTCCAAATTTTTGTACTTTTGTACCTCCAAATCTTTGAGATAATGGCTTACTGTAGTATCCAGACGAAAGTTTACAGTGGCGACTTAGCTTCGTCTTCCAGCTTTTCGCGGTCTTTGGCAGCAGCGCCTGGAACTCTTGGCCTTCATTCAATTTCAAATGCAAGCCGCCGTGTATGCTGTGACGCTCCAAAACGCCGGCGTTTCCAAGTGTTAGCTCTCGCTGTGAAGCGGAGCCCCAAGCGTCTCAAATACGCCACTCCTCGCTTCACCAAGGTCCTCTCTCTCTCTCTCTCTCTCTCTCTCTCTCACTGTTTAAAATGTAAATTAAGCAAAACTTGGGCGTTTGAGCATCCGAAGCTTATGAAATTGATTGACTGATAATATCAGGAGGATGAGCTGCTTTACATTGAAGTTGATCCATCACTATCAGGAGCGGACAGCTGGAAATTGGAACCAGTTGTTCATCTTTTGAAACAGGGCGGTGTTGGTGTTATTCCTACTGACACTGTGTAAGTCACAGCCCAACAAAACAATCTTTCTTGCTCATTTGAATTTGAATTGTAATTGCAATATTGTTGTAGGTATGCAATAGTTTGTGATCTCAGAAACCACTCAGCCATTGAACGCCTTCGTAGGTAAGATCCTCTTCTTTCCTTGTCTACTTTGTTCCTACTCATTTGAAAATATTAATTTACTAGTAAAGAAAAGATGCATTCTTTCTTTCATTGCAGAATCAAGAACGTTGATCCTCAAAAGGCAAGCATCACGGAATCCCTTTACTCATGATCACTTCAATATCATTGCTTCATTAACTCTGTTGTTAATCACTAGATAATTTTGTGATTATTGGGTTTTCTTCCAATTTTCATTTTTGATTTCTGCTTTTTTTTGACATGGCTGTCTGTGTGACTGACTTACTGGTGCAGCCCCTTAGCATCTTATGCCACTCCTTCCACGACATTGATACGTTTACAACAGGGTTCCCTCGTGGCGATGGCCAAGGTCATGCAAATTTATTCCGCGCTGTTAAGCATTGCTTACCTGGCCCTGTAAGTTTCTTCTTTGCTTCTCTTACTATTATTACTTGCCTATAGGAACATTTTTTTGTTTTATTTTTTAAACCTAGTCATCTATAGCATTGACTAAAACTAAACACTACCACCAGTAGACAATGTTTCATTGTATAGCAAGCACATAATACTTATGATGGTCCTCTAGATTCCTAAAATTTGGCCTATAACAGCACTTTTTGTGTAACAGTATACTTTCATCTTAACTGCAACCAAAGAACTGCCTAAACATTGTATAAGGTACGGGACGGCAGAAGCCAAATACACTTTAAGGAAAAATGTCGGTGTTCGTATGCCTGATGAACCCATATGTCAAGCAATACTGGAGAAGATGGGTTCACCATTGATATCCACAAGGTAACTCTGATTTTATTTTGTATACATTGGTATACCTTCTCTTCATTAATGACGTGAAGAACTGTAGGAAGATGGGAAGCTCTTAGCATGATGGAGTTTTAAGCAATCTATATGAGCTTATTCTTCTGTTACAATCCAATTTATTATGGTGTTGTACTGAAAGTTTTCCTGTTGGCAGTGTCAAGTGCCCGAAGGAGAATGAGTGGTTGTTAGATCCTGTCGTTATAGCTGATATATATGGACCTGAGGTATGGGTTTGGCACATGAAGGCTGTTTAGTGTATTCTGAAATTGAGCTCTCCCCTAAATTGTGTGTTCAAATTCATTATAGGGCCTTGATTTTGTCGTTGATGGCGGGGTAAGAGTGGCTGATCCATCAACCGTAGTTGACATGACAGTGATCCCTCCCAAACTCATACGACAAGGAAAGGTAATGGGTCATCCATGAATTATGGTTTCAATACTTTCTCATAACAATATGAGCCTGGCGCTCCTGGAACCTAATGATTTTGGGCTTTCCCTATGGCCTTCTGTTAAACTTATTTCCTAATCTTCATTTTGCAATATTTTGTGGGCCTCTGAAGTCTGAACCAGTGATAATAGCTACTGATATCTGGTCTATTTATCTTTATCACTTCTAAAATAGTGATTCTTTTGTATCCAGGGACCTAAATTACACTGGATGGTTGCAGAAGATTAGTACAACGATAAATCAATCATCTTGATAAATCCTGTGGAGAACCACGTTGAATGTCGCACTGGTTTTTGTAGCTGTCCTGTCCTGTATCTTCTGTATAGCCTTGTAAAGAAGTGGTTGAGTAGAAAATTGAACAGTAGAGTGTGTGAAACCCAAAAGGAGAGCAAACAGTGCTTCCATGTGTCAGCACTAGCTTTCCTTTGGTCAATCCGAGTTGTAAGTACAGAGCAACTACACTGATAATAGTTTGGTTATAGTGGACTGAATTGACTATTTGCGTACCATGTTCATTAGAAACCGGGACGAGCTAAACAATATATTTCAATTTGGTTTTAGCATTTTTAATGTGGCACAACTACAAGTACAAAAAATAAAGACGCCAATGGGTTGGTGAGTGGAAGTAAATGATGTCTGTGAACTTCTTTAAAGAAGCAGTTATGAGACTGTGAACAAGGGCTAAGGTGGTTGCACTGCCCTTTTCTATACGTGGTCTTCAATTTAAAGCCGTAATAAACAGAACACTCAACATTTAATTTGCCCTGCAATAAAAAACCATCGCTTGCTTTGGCCTCACAGTCCAGCCTTCTTTTATTTGTTTTCCTCCTTCAAGATTTGAGCTTAAATGCGATTTACATGGCCGTCCCTGAAATGGGTTTGTTCAAGTTTCTTGTTCTGGTTACTGTTCTGGTGAATGTACAAAACTCAGCCGAGTCAACGGTCCTCATTCGTTTTGATAGAGTTCCGCCGGCACGATCCCGGTATTCTTCTGCAGTTTTCCGGTACTCAGTTTTGACGCTGAATGGCTCCAATGCATGCAACAAAAATACTTGTTCCGTTCACTGTCAGGTACGTCCTGTTCTTCTTTTAACCGCTGCGTTTTTATAAGCTCATAATTAAGTATTAACAACTACTTCAATAATGTTGTTGTAATTATCAGTTTTCTTAAGTAGGAGATAGTGATTAAATCTGTTTAATATGAACAGCTTGATGGCCAAACTCTGAGTCCATGTCCAGCTAAGGTCATGGTATTCAAAAACCTGACCGTCAACCGTGATCACATATTTCTTCTCAACGTCACAACTTGGGATGGAGACAGAAACTCATCAGCTTATTCTTGGTTTATTGGTCAGTGACTTTCTTTCATAGCTGTAAAGTTTTTTACATTTACATTAATTTCTTTTTCTAAAATGCTGAACAGGGGATTTTACTTTGTTTTTTTCATCTATCTGATAGATACAATACCACCAACTGCAATGATTTTTAGCGAAAAGAATTACACAAGTGCGGAAAAAATAGCCATTGATATCACGTTTAATGAAGCTTGCACAGGGAAAGGTGGCTTCAGGTGCCTCAACTCATCAAACTGTGATGTAAGTGGATTTCTATGCTTATGTTTTTACCCATGCATGATGTTATTCAATGACGTTCATAGTATACCATGGAAAACGATGCATAAGGTAAATTGCATGCTTTTTTTTTGTAGGTAATAGTAGATGGTCCTGGCCGTGTACAGCCATCTTCCTTACGCATGATTAAACCTACCATCAGTTATAGCCTTGATGTAGTTCTCTCTCTGGCAAGTATGTACGGGCGTGTCGTAATCAGAATGGCAGATGATTTTTGTACAGATCAGGCGGGAAACAGCTTTACAAGGACAAATGGTTCCACTATAATCATTCACTTTGGTAAGACATAAGTCACATTTGTACTTCAATTATGTTTCTAAACAAAATGTCCTTTTGACTCTCCAAATCTTACAGATTGTTCACATTTCTTATGAATGCCTTAGATAGAAGACCAGTTCTTGCAGATTTGTGGACCTCTGTTCCAGCCTACGAGTTGATGATCAATGGGGTCCCTCGAACTATCCTTGCAACTAACAAAATGGAGGACTTGAACATATTTTTGGACTTCAGCATTCCCATTATAAACACAACAGAGCAGATTCTGAATGCATTGGTTGTGAATTCAGGTAACTTAGTACCTATTCATGGCAGAAATCAAGGAAACCGCCGATTTAAATTCCAGGTAAGCAACTACAGCTTTCATTAGTACTAATAATGCAGTGGCAGGGTTTTTTCTGGAAGCAATTTCCATATTAGCATTGTTATCTATCAAATTATTGTAGCTAATTATTGTGTGTGTGTTTGTGTTAGCATTGTACATTTATGTTGAGTTTTTTTCCTGCTGTAGCTCAGGAATATATCTAGGACTGAAATCATCAAGATTGAGTTACAAGCTGGATTAATAATTGGCAGGACAGGCATTCCTGTGTCACCGATTCCCTCATTTACGTTTCTTTATGGTATTCCACCGCAAATATGTTAGTTCTGCTAGTTTTTTTCGGTAGCTTTATGGAACTAATTGAATTGCTTTTCTCTCAGATTCCATGGAGACTAGTGTAGGGCTGAGCACCAGTTCTCCAAATGTTACTAAGGACCACGATATCAATGTGATTGTTGAGTTTACAAAACCGGTCTTTGGCTTTCAGGCCTCCATGGTACAAGTGGTCGGCGGTAGAATAACAAGGCAGGTGCATATGGTGACTCTTGAAATACCATTAACAATGTTCATTCATAGTCATAGCTCGCTTCATGCACTTGAAAGAATGTCAAAATTTTCTATTTTGCTTCTTGTAGGTTTAGGGAACTTTCAAGAGCTCTGTACTCATTGAATGTTTTGGCAGTCACTGAGCATACGGTGTCAGTTGCCGTCCCTTCAGGGAAGGTATATGATATATCAGGAAATCTTAACATGGCATCTAACCAACTTGAAGTGAAACACTGTATGAATCATTTCTTCCTTCTATTCGGTACTCTTTATATCTATTCATTCTTCACATTGCCTTTCTGCTTGGATTTTTTGGGGATGATACATTAAATTTTACTCTCTAGCCAGATTTGAAACTTGCAAGATAGGAAAGATAGGCAAGAAAGTTAATGGTTATAGCCGATTCTCACTACAGCATCTTATTTAATAAATCATTGGAACTTAATACTTGTCAGAGACTTGGAGAAGAAGATATATATTATTAGAAAACACACACGGATTCACTGGCTTCTTCTGTGCTTGACAAGATGTATATTTTTACACTCACACACACAGATTCACATGGCTGCTTCTCTGCGCAGACTCAACCCCTGCAATATCAATCGCATTGCACTCTTTTGTTACTGTGGGTATGTTAGCGACTTCACTAGCAGCTGCCATTCTTTCAATTTCAACTGCAAATCTTGGAGCAGTGGGCACTCTTGCTTCTGAGAGTTCAAACATTGTTTCTTCTGATTCAACGAATCTACACGTGAGATTTAAATTGTTTAGTAGATACAATATCCAAGTGGATAGCTTTTGCTATATCCCATTTTTCATTCCTTCATTGTGCATCTCCTTTTTAGTTATTAAGATTCAACTAAAATGTCTGTTTATTTTTAACATAGGGGATGTTTGGACACCTTCAAGTTTTTGTTCTCTCAGACTGGCTCTCAGTTAATCAACCAATTGATTATTTAGAGACAACAAAAGGTCTTAGGTGGCTCATACCTCGTCAAAAGCTTCCATGGAAAAAGGATAGCACTTTAGTTTGGCCCTGCCAAGAGAAGCCTGAGAGGAAACTCAGTACCTCTTCAGTACAAGGATCACCACATGAAGGGACAAGAATCAGAGTTGACTTCTATCTCTCCAACTCTTCTTATATGCAGCATGAAGTACCAGTGCCAATTGAGGTGGACCCCAAGCCTGGCTGGCTTCATGGGCAGCATAGCATGCGTCTGACTCCTTATGGACTACCTCTTCATTCCAACGAATACTTCACTTATTTCTTGGTGAGTATCCATTATTTAAGCATTCAATGCTTATTTTCCTCATCCATGAAAACCACTCTAGTGCTAATCCTTAGTCTTACAGAGAGGAGAGCCATTGTCTGCTAGCAATGTCATCAAGGGAATGGAGAACTACAAAGGGTAGCTCCAGAATTGCCTTTATCTTAGTGCTTTTACATTAAAATCAGACGACTCGAAAAGTGACAGGAATATAGGGGCTAACCTAATGTTATCATGCCTAACTAACTTTTAACAGGTGGGAAGATTTACAGATGAACTTGTTTTGGCTTGGTATTGGAGGAGGCAGTTTAGTCATAGCCCATGTGTTGATATTACTTTTCCTAAGATGGAGATTAGGACCACCAGCTCATGGTATACTCTCAGTGCCCAGATTCGAGCTCTTTCTTCTGATTCTCATGCTACCATGTATCACTCAGTCCTCAACATTTGTTATGAAAGGTAAGGAGCCAATTTTGTTCTTTCTAAATCCAATTGTTTTGTTTGCCACTCGACAATGTTTTTGAACTCAAAACTACTCTAATTTACAGGTGGTACAACTGGGGGAATCATTACTGGGGCTTTATTGCTGGCTATCCCTGCAGCTCTTATTTTATCTGTGTGCCTTTTTCAAATAATTGCAATCTTCTATGGCGGTTTTGTTCAGTACAAGGAAGTTAAGCATGTAGCTAGAAAAGAACCATGGACTGCTAAGCTTTGGTATTTTTTGACAGGGAGACCTAGTGCTGGAAAGTGGTTTTATAAGGAAGGGCTACCTTCATCTTTCCTTTCACTATTTGGAATTCTCTTTGAAAGTTTTCAGGGTCCTCCATTATTCATCTTTGTTGATCAAAATGAACCAAACAGCATATCCAAATGGACTGGAAGTGGCCATAGTGGTATTGGGAGAATGCGACCAGTCAGCTTGGAAGACAGCACTGAAGAAATTAAGACCCCATTGTCCAAAAGGCTCTTGGGGTGTGCTAGATCTTCCTATATTATTGTTGATCTTTCGAGACGGGTCTGCTTGGGGATCATATCGGGAGCTTACTCATCAAGGAAATCAAGCCAAAGCCACTTCGCACTGGCCATTACGCTGGTACAGTTCATGTATCTATTTACTCTGAAACCATACATCAAGAGAGGAGTCCATATGGCAGAAAGTGTTTCTCTACTGTGTGAGATGGGCATATTTGCTCTACTTATCAGCATTAATGGCTCAAATCCTGTCAAAGCAAGAAATTTAGGATTTGTAATGCTAACTCTCCTCTTCCTAACCTTTGTCACCCAAATGATAAACGAGTGGCATGCTCTGATGAAATCCCTATTAAGACTCTCACAGCCTCAAAAGAATTCATTCAAGCTTGGATTAAAGTTTGCTGCTAAGGGCCTTGTCCTCCCATTCCTTCCAAGGAAGCAATGGTCTAGAGTCATACCTGCATCCTCCCAACCAAAAACAGGCCTAGCTCCAGTCCTTCCTTTAAGTCCAGACACAAACTTTGAAAGAAGAGATACGAGAGCACCACGCACTGGCCCAATTAGCGCTATGACTGCAACTGTAGTCCCTGTGATCAGTCCTGGATCCCCTGGCCTTGATGTTCTTGAAATGGCAGGTTCCAATAACGTGGAGGCAACCGTCAGTACGCAGAGAGCAGTGGAAGCAAAACGGCAAAAGGGACTTAAACTAGAGCCTAAAAGTGATCTGAAGAAACTAAGGGAGTTGGCAAGGGCAAGTTTTTCAGGTGACTCAATTTTTGAGGAAGCTAGCACTAGCTACTGTTCTCGGATGCAACCTTTATCTGGTGAACCTTCACTTCAAACTCCCCAAGCCTCTACTTCTAGAACTAAACACTAGTATGAAAATTGTAAAGGGTGGGATTGGGTATTTTGCTTAAGTTTACTTCTGCACACAATTTCTTTTCTCCCAAAGTCATATCAGCTTTTAAATTACTGCCAATTCACATCAATTTTCTGTTTATCAATGTTCTTTACAATCTGGCAGACAATTTTATGCTAAGTCAGTAGCCCAAGATTCTCATATCAGTAGACAATTAGCAGAAAGAATTCACACATATTTGAAACAGCAAAATATGATTGAAGATTCAAAGGTACAAAATGCCTGCTGTCCACAAAAAAGTTTACTGATTACAAGGTAAAAATATCACTCGTAAATCTAACAATTACATCTATCACAAGTGGGTTATGAAATGAAAACATACATCGATCAGAGAAGGTAATTAACCAGGGTTTCTTCATGGCCTCTGAGGTGAAAACTATCTGCCCAAAATCTTGATGTGAAAACAGAGACAACTTGTTGTGATCAAGAAAAGGGACGGCAAAGATTGATGCCTCAGTGAAAGTCACCATAATCATGATGAGGCACGCTCTGAGCAACATATGCATTAGTGTAAATGTCATCAACTGGGTCTTGTTGCTTAGGCTCCTGCGATGTCAGTAACCGATTGAGGCCATGCACAACAAGCCACCGATTCTGATACATATCTTCAGACACCACAGCAACTTCATTAAGCGCCGGAACTTCACCAAACTTGATCACATTGATCATGAACCCTTCTTCAAAAGTTGGCAGCATGGTCCCATCATCAAGCCCCACCAAATCTTGCCACAAAAGCATTCTTGGAACGACATGCTGACGGAAGATCAACGAGTAATCGGTGGTGTTCCTCTGGTAATCTTCAATGGCCTCATCGACCGGAGCGAAGATTGTCAGCCTGGTCTTCCTTTTGAACGACACCAGCTGCGCATCAAGAAATGCGGCCATGATTGAATACCCTTTAGACCTCAGCAAATCCGCAACGAAACGGAAAGATTCAGGACCAGGCCGGCGCGATTCGAACTCCGTAACTTCATTAGCACTGGGACCAGGGCTTGGTGATTGAGCACCTGAAACAGAGCTCATCAATGGAGGAGCCGGTGTTGAAGAGGCATCGACCAAGAACGACGAATTGAAGAACTCATCAATTCCGTAAATGACGACCGACCCATCATCCAAAACAGCGTTTGGATCAATCGTGAGGTTGTTGATGGACAAATAGCCTTGGAAATTTGGAGACCCAGTGAGGGTCAAGGTGTAATTGGGGAGCAGAGTTGGGATTTTGGTGTTGGGACGAAGATACTTGAGGGTGTTGAGGGAGAGTCTTCTTGGGGAGACGTGGTAGAGAAGAAGAGGGAGAGAGGGTTGCCCCAAGCGAATGAAGGCGAGGTCTGGAGGAGCGAAAATGGTGGCGGTGGGAGATTCGAATTCGAGGGAATGGGAGACGAGTTGAAGCTTTAGAGCCATGGAAAGGAAGCCAGAGTTGGAGAGGACCTTGGCTGCTTTCAAGAGGGTTACGGAGGTAGCAAGAGCCGGAGAAGCAGAGAGCGAAAGGAGAGTGATGAGAAGGATCAAGAGAGACGAGGCCGCCATTGGAGACTAGCTTAGCTTGGTTTCAAGGGACGATGTGTTTCTTGGATTGTTTCTTTCTTCTGTGTTTCAGCGATGTGAGAATTAGAAAGAGAATCTGTTTGTTTAGTGTGGGTTTGAAGCAGAGGACTTAAAAAACTCTGGAAAGGCTGAGAGTTATAAGGGCGGGAAATCAAGAAATGAGTTTGTTAGTTCGTTGAGGTGGTTAGAACTTAGAGCCATGACCAAACAAATTCTCTCTCTCTCTCTCTCAACATAAGCTAAGCTCCCTGTTAGCAAATCTTAATTGAGCCCAATCCTCCTTATCACATTGGGCTAAGCAAATGATGGGCCAAAATGAAAACATAAACAAATGAAGGTCCAGCTCCAAACTTAGGCTTAAACTCGGAAGCCCAATTGCGAATAAAGCGTGTGCTCCGCACATGCAAATTGCGTGTATGGGCCATATGGAAGCGTGCCTGTAAATTTGCGAGTGTGGGTTGCACAATTGGTCACGTGTGTTTTTTTTTTTAAACAATGGCATTTCGCAGATACTAGTAGCAATCAATGTTAATTTGTGTTAGAAATGACAATATTGTTAATTTGTATTGTATCCATTGCTTTGTTTTATAAAACACATTAAATTATAGTCTTAGAGACAGACAATTTGCATGATTTTATGCAATAACAACTTGCACATGGTTCCCAACTTCCCACCCTCACAGCTTGTGTCCACTATCAACTTGCAACTTACTTAAGTATTTTCTTTTGCGTGGACAATCGGCATTTTATACTATTCTAATGTTTAAAGAGGGGGTTCAAATTCAGGTGTAATGAACGGCACACTACATTGCCCAGCATAATCCACATTTGCAACTTATTTAATTACTTGTTATCTTAATTGTTTTTTCCTTTCTCATCAGATCGGTTATTATATATAAGCAACAAAAAGATATTTTTTATTTTATTTTATAAATGTAATAATAGAGTTAACAATATTGTAAATTTGTCTAATTGGTAATGGCTTTACAGTTTGCATTTTATTTTTGTGGGGGACCAAGTTCTTTTATATGGACCAAACATAGTACAAATTGGAGGCAATCAATAAATTCATTCATTGTATAGATTTAGGAGCCAAATCTTTTTAAGCCGTTCATTTCCAAACTCGCGCCAAGAGGATTCCCGCTACAATATCAAAACTTTGAAATCAAAATAAAAATATCCAGCCAAAGCTTCCCTCGCAAGCTTCTTCCCTTAAAACGTCAATTTTCATTTACCAGAAAAGCCCTTCACCTAATAAAAAATTCAAACCACTATTACTGTCCACACTCGTTATTCTCCTCAAATCCAAGGGTAATTTCTTCGCCATGCCCCTCAAATGACCGTTACACCCCTCTCCACCATATGGGCCAAACCGTCCTCATCCACTGGCCGTAAACGCAGACCGTAGAAATCGATTGCGCGCCTACTCATACAAGTTTCCGGAATCCCCAAAGTGCCCTTGTTTGGGTTCATTCTCCCGCAAGCTTTTCACAAATTTGAATCACCCGCTCCCAAAAACCTCAATTCAATATTCAAAAACCCCCCTCCTTTGTATGTGTGTGTATATATATGCAACCCTAACCCACCAAATTATCAAACCTCCATACACAATCTTCGAAAGCTTCAAAATCCCCCCAATCAAATTTCTTCGATCATCTGAATCTCTGAAATCTTCCTCGTCATAAAAATGCCTGCCTTCCCAGAAGAGCCATTGCTTGCTCCGAACCCGGACCGCTTCTGTATGTTCCCGATCCAATACCCGGAAATCTGGGAGATGTACAAGAAGGCCGAGGCCTCCTTCTGGACCGCCGAGGAGGTTGATTTATGCCAGGACCTACGCCACTGGGAACTTCTAGCCCCCGGCGAGAAGCACTTCATCACCCACGTGCTCGCCTTCTTCGCTGCCTCTGACGGCATTGTTTTGGAGAATCTCGCCGGAAGGTTCATGAAGGAAGTCCAGGTCTCCGAGGCTCGAGCCTTCTACGGCTTCCAGATCGCCATCGAGAACATCCACTCCGAGATGTACAGCCTCCTCCTGGAGACCTACATCAAGGACTCAGACGAGAAGAACAGGCTTTTTCATGCGATCGATACCATTCCCTGCGTCACGAAGAAGGCCCAGTGGGCCCTACGCTGGATCGACGGCTCAGAATCGTTTGCGGAGCGGATCGTGGCCTTTGCTTGCGTGGAAGGGATATTCTTCTCGGGGAGTTTTTGCGCGATATTTTGGCTAAAGAAGCGCGGGTTAATGCCTGGACTGACGTTCTCAAACGAGTTGATCTCGCGAGATGAGGGTTTGCACTGCGACTTCGCGTGCTTGCTGTACTCGCTGCTGAGGAAGAAGCTGAGCGAGGATCGGGTGAAGTCGATCATACGAAACGCGGTGGAGATAGAGAGAGAGTTCGTGTGCGAAGCGTTACCGTGCGCCCTGGTGGGGATGAACGGCGATCTAATGAGCCAGTACATCGAGTTCGTGGCGGATAGGCTGCTGGCTGAGCTTGGGTACGGGAAGATGTACAATGTGCAGAACCCGTTCGAGTGGATGGAGCTGATCAGCTTGCAGGGGAAGACCAATTTCTTCGAGAAGAGGGTTGGGGAGTACCAGAAGGCTTCAGTGATGAATAGCATCAACGGCAATGTCGATTCGCATGTTTTCAAGATGGATGCGGATTTCTAAAAGCCGCTGATTCTGATAGATGTAGCGATGTGGGGGGTGAGGGATGAGATGTGTTTGTGTAATATTTGAGTTTTTTTAAGATCTTTTTCGAAAATTTAATTTTATAATAGATATGTTTGTTTGTTCAATCTCTTGTTCTCTAAAAATGATAAATGGAATATTTGACTATCTCTTTATTCTTATTTTTGGCATACATTTTGTGTTGTGGGGGTTGGTTGGTGGGTGGTGTGTATAATGAGAAAATGATAGTTTTTATATTTTTGCCTTTTCAAAATTTGAATTGATTGGGAATTTAATTTAGAAGAAAAATGCCATGGCTTGGGAAAAGGGAGGGTGTCTCTTTATAGACCTTATCAATAACAGAGACAAGGAAGGGTGTGTGTCTCTAATAATAATCTCCAAAAATGGGTTCGCAGTTGCAGAGCTCCTCAGAAATGCTGTCGAGGGAACAGTTGCTTCATCTCTTCGATCGATTCTCTTTCCTCACCTCTCAGCCCGGTACAATTTTCCTCTTTTATCCTCGCACGCACGCATTTTCCCTTTTTCTTTTTTCCTTTTTCCTTTTTCTGCAAAAACAAAAAATATATCAAAAAATATATCTTTTTTCCTTCATTACTCGGTGGTGTTTCTTGGCGGTGGTTCAAATCCTTTTATTTGGAATTGCAGATGGGAAGAAAAGAATCGCAGATGGTGTTGAGGACAAACAGGTCGTTTGATGTAATTCCTGAGTTTATCTAACACAGCACATTACGGACTAGTGAAAATTCAGCTTGAATGTGATAATTAACTGTTGTTTAATTTTCTTTTCATTATCTGATGATGTCTAATAAGTAAAATTACAATACGCAGGAAGCTGTTGCCTTAACCACTGCCATCCAGGAAGAGATATTTCTGGAGATGGGGATTGGTAAGTTTTATCTTGAAATGCTAATTATACATATTTCTGGAGATGGGGATTGGTTAGTTGATTGTGTTCATCTATTTTTAACTGGAAATCCCAACAAATGATGTATATCATACTGCAGTTTTACATTTATCGACTCAATCCGTTCTTTATGTTGAGATCCAGTTCCTGTAAATGTATGTGCCTGATACTTGCAGTTGAGAACTTCTCTCTAGTTAGGAAAAAAATGATTTAGCAGTGTTGATCTTCTATACATCAGATAAACCTAGTATTCTATGGCCACTGGTACAACCTCACTAAAAGTAAATGGTTTCTTTACTACAGATCCAAGGTTTGGCATATCATCCCTGGGAAAGTTGAATGAAAAATATGAGAATGATCAGGATATGATGATCCGCTTTTATAAGTTCATTGCAAGGTAATCCTCTTTTGCCTATTTTTGAAGTTAAAAATTCTGCTTAGTGTTTATTTCTTATTGCCTTTTGAAGTAACAATCACAAGGAGTGCTTGAATTCATTGCTATACATCAGATAAACCTAGTATTCTATGGCCACTGGTACAACCTCACTAAAAGTAAATGGTTTCTTTACTACAGATCCAAGGTTTGGCATATCATCCCTGGGAAAGTTGAATGAAAAATATGAGAATGATCAGGATATGATGATCCGCTTTTATAAGTTCATTGCAAGGTAATCCTCTTCTGCCTATTTTTGAAGTTAAAAATTCTGCTTAGTGTTTATTTCTTATTGCCTTTTGAAGTAACAATCACAAGGAGTGCTTGAATTCATTGCAACTTGTAAGCCTTGTGCTCATGTGTGTTAGCCTTGGATATTGGGCTAAAACTACAAATCTTACCTTTAAAAGGTGGGGAAAGATAACAAGAAAGGTTCGGATATTTGTATTGCATGTTGCTGTTAGTAGTACTCATCTATGGAATGACAGGGAGGAGATGGCCTGTGATGAAGCTGAGCTTGGAGCAGATGAATTTGTGGAAAGGATGCATAGCCAAGAAAAATTACAGGAGCAGGTAATGTCTGTTCAAATATAACAACTATAATGGTAAAGGTGGATGTTTCTAAAGCACCAGAGGTAAATATTTTTCAGCAACTGGAGATGCTAAAGCACATGCGGAAATTTCCCCTGGATGATCAATCTGCAATCCTTGAGAAGGTATGTGGCTACACATAATCTCTTAGCTCACATTCGATTAAGAATTTGGAACTTGAATGACAGAAAGTTTGGTTTTATTTTATCTAATTGGATGGGAGTTTAGGAAGGTGAATGCAATCCCAACTTGAAATTCAAAGAACAACAAAGCCAATATATTCTGAATAACATATTGTTTCGGGGTATTGTTCACACAGCTGCGGTAATGTCTGTTCAAATATAACAACTATAATGGTAAAGGTGGATGTTTCTAAAGCACCAGAGGTAAATATTTTTCAGCAACTAGAGATGCTAAAGCACATGCGGAAATTTCCCTTGGATGATCAATCTGCAATCCTTGAGAAGGTATGTGGCTGTATATTCTCTCTTAGCTCACATTCGATTAAGAATTTGGAACTTGAATGACAGAAAGTTTGGTTTTATTTTATCTAATTGGATGGGAGTTTAGGAAGGTGAATGCAATCCCAACTTGAAATTCAAAGAACAACAAAGCCAATATATTCTGAATAACATATTGTTTCGGGGTATTGTTCACACAGCTGCGTCAGCAGATGGAAAATGCCGATTTTGAAGGCGCTGCATCAGTTTTGTCTTCAGAGCAGATTCAAGAGATTGTTCGGAGGAGGGTGTCTCCTTTATTTAAGCCAAGGTAGATTGGAACATGCATCAGTGATGCAATGTAGTTTGGTTTCAGACTGGTACTTTGTCCATGGTCTCGATGTAGCTGTTGTTTGTTGTAGTAATTGCTCATTATATGTAGACTGGATTTCGGTTGTGAAGTAAATTTGTTTTTAAGAAGGTAACAGATCAATGAACAACTGGACAGACTTCGCTTAAAAGCTGTGAAAAAACACGAAACAAAACAAAAATTTTGATCTGCACCCTATTCCTGCGAGCAAAAATTAAACCCATAAAAAATGGACAAAAAAAGGTCCCACCGAGATTTGAACTCGGGTTACTGGATTCAGAGTCCAATGTCCTGACCACTAGACCATGGGACCTTGTTGGTGTAGTCTTGAGATGTTAACTAATATATAAATAATAAGTTGCAGCAGGAGCTCAGTTTCATAATATTATATATCCATTTATCGATATATATATATAAATTTTAACAAAGGTAATATTTCAAATATTTATAATGTTTAGGAAATGGGTTCGAATTCAGATGTAATGGGGTGAGCATGCTGCATACTGCTACCTAACCTATATTTCCTAATTGAAATTCATTGCCAAATTTCCATTTTCACCTTAATTGATGAGCGATTCCATTCTGAACCCAATAAGAACATGATATTACGAAGAGCGTGTAACTCTGACGTCGCAAGTGGAGATGGCCGAGTTGGTCTAAGGCGCCAGATTAAGGTTCTGGTCCGAAAGGGCGTGGGTTCAAATCCCACT